ATAGTTTGTCGTATTCCCTTTCTATTGCTTTTTGTCTCTAATTACTTCTACCTTCTAACTATTAAGGGCAGACTAGCAGTATATGCTTAGGGTTCTAAGATTAGTAGCTATATTAGTAAGCTCTGCTTTCAATTCCTAGGACGTTTCTTCTAAATAGGTAAGATCTGAGTCTAATATGTTTAGATCTAATTTAGATAGCTAGGCTTGCCTCGGCCCTGTTTAGGTCCTTATAGAGCTAGTAGTTGTATTAACCAAATTTGATTAGTGCCTTTAGGGTTCCTAGTCTAACTTATGTTTTGTTCTATTCCTACTCCTATAGGTATTTAGTAATTGATTCTGCTAGGCTTTGTTTCTCTCCCTTTAGCTTGTCTTCCTTTAGCCTTATATTTAGTCCCTAAAGCTCTTCCTCTAGCATTTCTCTTATTAAGACTCTATATTGCTCTAGGTCTTTAACTTTCTAGGGAGTTATTTGTAGTCTGTCTCGCCTCCTAGTCCTAATATACTAGGCTTTTATCTTATCTAGTGCCTTTTAGATAGTCTGTTAGGCTAGGTATTCCATTGTCTTTACTATATATTAGTATCTTAGCCCCTTAAAGTATTGTTTAACTAGTAGGATCCCTAATTCCATTTCTACTACCCTTATTAGTATAGTTTTGTATACTCCTAGGATTTTCTTTAGGCTTTAGGTTTAGGACCTGCTAACTAGTTGCTTAATCCTCTTTAGTGTTTTCTCCTAGGCTGTCTATATCTATACTCTATATAGTATTGCTAGCTTGACAATTGCTTTGTATATAACTTTAGCTTTCTCGAATATAGCCCCCTATATAGAGGCTGTAAGCCTATTAATAGATTGTATATTAGTATCTGCCCTCTGCTTTACCTTCTTTACTTATAGTCCCTAATTTAGTTTTGGATCTAGCTAGATCCCTAGTACCCTAAGCTCTGCTAATAGTTGGGTTTTAAAGCCTTAAATAGTGATTAATTGTTTTATATTATAGGTTAACTTAGCCTTACTGAAGTGGATAAGCTAGTACTTTTTTAGGGCGAATTTTGCTCTATACCTCCTTACCTATTTTTTATACTCCTAGTGCTTCTCTTCTAGGATCTTGCAGTTGGTTTCTATTGTTTTAGACTAGGCTAGGATGTTTGTGTCGTCTATAAACCCTAATGCTAATGTGTTTTTTAATTCTAGGAGTAGGAGTAGGTCTGCTATAAAGATAAGGAAGAGGATTAGGGAGAGTGTTAATCCTTAGGGGATTCCCTTTTTAGTTAGTATTAGGTCTAATTTGAATTTGCCTAGAATAAGCTATGTTAATCTTTCCTATAGGAAGGACTAGATAAATTGGACTATCTAGTTTAGTATAGCTTTCTGTTTAAGTATATATAGGAGCCTTTTATAGGAGATATTATTAAAGGCTCCTAAGATATTAAGGGAGAGGAGGGTTGCTATATAATTTTGACTATAGTACTAGATATGCTTAATCTGTTCTGTAATTAGTTCTATAGCTGTTAGTATTAACCTCTTCTTTCTTCCTCCTATCTAGCCTTTAGGAAGGATATTCCTTTCCTCGGTAAAGGTTATTAGCCTTTTAGCGACAATTTTTTCTAGCACCTTGCCTATTATATTAAGTAGGGCTATTAGTCTATAGGCCTTAAGCTATATATAGTCTTCCTTCTAGGGCTTCCTTAGCACTACTATTAGGGACTTCCTAAATGGTCTTAGGTAGTGTCCTAGCGCTAGTGTTAGGACCAAAGAGGCTACACGTGATTGGCATGTAACTAGGCCGAGTGAAGCCAGGGTCTCGATGCCTCAGGCAGGGCTTGGCGCTTGGCGTTGGGCCAACTCTCCTGCCTTCCTCCCTCTCCTTCGAGATCCTTATCGAATACTATACTGATTCACTACTACCCTATCTACCTACTAACATAACCCTTCTTATACAGTATTCGATCTACCCTTTAAGGGCAGCAGCTAGATAGTCCTTATTTCAAGCTTTTAGCGGTATAGCTACGAATAAGACCAATCTAACTATATTGCGCCCTAAGAACGGGACCTATACGCACTATTCTATCGAAACAACCGTACCAATCATCAAGCAAGGCCTTCTATACGGCCTATTACACTAAGTCAATCGCACTAGACTAATACCTACTAATTCCGCTACATCCGCATCTTAGAGGCTAACAATACATTATTAGTGTCACCCCCTATTACAATAGCCGGCTTATTACGAAACAACAACCGTGCTACCGCTAGCAGCGCTAGCAACGACAATGCTAGTAGCACAGCGCCTGCTAAAGTGCCTACTAGAGCACCTACTAAAGTGCCTCCTACCGAAGAGCCTACTATAGGACCTGCTAAAGAAGAACCTACAGTTCTAGGTAACGACCTAGAATTGCCTGTCGACGACATTCTTAACAATATTGTCAACCGTCGATATAGCTAGCTAGCCTTTAGTCCCTAACTAGTAGCGAGACTTTAGGAAGCTACCTAAAACAGGCTTACTGCCTTGCGTTAAGAACAATAGCTAAAGGATAATCTCCTCGAGATTCGCCGTCTATAGGAAGCCCTAACAACTAATACTAAGTCGATAGCAGGGCCTTCCTTACTACCCGTCCCTATCTAAAAGAAGGATGCTAAGCTTAAGGACTATACCGTATTTAACGGCTCCAGTCGCAAACAATACAATAATTATATACGCGATTGTAAGCTCAACCAACGAAATGCGCCGAGGGCTCTTCCAGATAACTATTTACTAGTTGTCTACGCTATACAGTATATTAATAGCGACCTAAAGCGTACCTAGGATAACTATTTCGACTCCCTTACTAATTAGACCGCTGTTTAGTGGCAAGACTATAAGACTATTATGCTAGATACCCTTAGAAACCCTATACTAAGGCAACAATACGCTTAGGACCAATACCTTCGAGCTAAACAAAAGACTAATTAATCGGCTCGCTCATTTAAGGCCTATTTAAAGACCCTCGAGGATGATTTGCTAGCCAAGACCGACTCTATCTAGATTTCCGAAATACGCCCTAAATTGCGATAGGAGCTTATCCTCGAATTAGACCGTCGCCGTGTGTTCGAACAAGCCAATCTAACACGTATTCAATTCATAGTCGAAGTGGAAACAGCCGAACGGGCTGTTTAGCTTCAATAACGACTAGAATTAAGGATCCGACTAACTAGTACTAACCGTAGCAACCGTAGCCGCGGAGGAAACTAAGGTTCCTACTAGGACAACAACGCTAACAGTAGGAACAGTAACAACGACCGTAGAAGAGGCCGTAGCCGCCGGCTATATAGAGGAGGCCGCGATAGGGGCCGTAGAAGGGGCTCGTATCCCTACAATGCTAACCGCTCTGCTAATAATAACAACAGCTACGGCAGTCTACTAACCGGATTGAAGTGCTTCAATTGTAATAGCACTAGCTATCTACTAGGCCAATGCGACAAACCTAAGGACTAGGCCCGAATTGACCGTGCTTCCGCCGAGTATAGGAAACATCTTTTAGCCGCTAATGCTACCCTAGTCGGCTCTTTCAATTAGTCGAAAAAAGAGTAAGCGCCGCACCAACTGTTGGCCTTGTGCGGCGTAAGACTATCGACATTGTGCTAGCTATTACACGTACCTGTCTTATATCTAGGCCCGACACTAACTATAAGGCAAAGGTTATGCTAGACCCCGGAAATTCAGTTAGCGCCCTTATTAGCTATTACCTAGCTAAGCAATTAGACCTCCGACAACTGCCGAAAACTGACCTACTAACCCTTGCTTAGTTTAATAACGCTCGGCACTTAACCTATAGGGCCTACTATATTCCTATAGTTCTAAAAGACGACCTCGGAAATAAACGCCTACTAAACTTTACTGCCTACGCGGTAGATATAGACAGCCTCCTATCCGACATTGTTATTAGCAACCCTGTTCTTAAGTACTATGCTATAGTTATAGACTTAGGCAGTCAACAATAGCGATTTAGAATCGCTAGGAAAGAGGACATTGAATACATCGACATTAGCGAGTGTCCTAATAATATTAGGGTCCTATTTATTAGCAACCTAACACTAGCCTCCGCCTTAGCTAATCCGACTGCCGACCTGCTCGGTAGTAATAACGATGAACCTGTGCCCCCTAATAGCATAGACCCTAATCAGCTCGAACGTATACTAGTGCCTATTCGAGAGACCTATATTAATGTATTCAAACATTACCTAGCATCGACATTGCCTATATTCAAGGAGATAGATTATAAGATTAACATTATAGAGGGCAAGGAGGTTCCTTTTAGCCCCCTCTACAACCTTAGTGAACGAGAGCTTGCTATATTGCGTAAGTACCTAGAGGAAAACCTAGCTAATAGTCGCATTCGGTACAGTAATAGCCCTGCTAGTGCACCAATCCTGTTTGTTCTAAAGAAGGATAGTAGCCTACGGTTATGCGTCGATTACCGTAGACTCAATGCTGTTACTATTAAAGATCGTTGTCTACTTCCTCTTATTAATAAGACCCTCGATCGCCTTTCTAGTGCCTACTACTATACTACATTGGACATTAAGGACGCCTATTACCGCATCCGTATTCGCAAGGGCGATGAATAGAAGACAGCCTTTCGCACTCGCTATAGCTATTTTAAGTACTTAGTTATGCTATTTGGGCTAGCTAATGCCCCTGCTACATTCTAGTCCTACATTAATCGGGCCCTATTAGGCCTATTAGATCACCTCTGTATAGTTTACCTAGATAACATCCTAGTTTATATACACTCTCCTAACAT